AATTATAGAATTATAGAATTATAGAATTATAGAATTATAGAATTATAGAATTATAGAATTATAGAATTATAGAATTATAGAATTATAGAATTATATCAGTTGTAACAAATTTTGCAATTTTTTCTATAATTGTTTCTAAAATGATGGAGGAATTCCATTGAAAGCCCCCTCACATAATATTTTCCAATAGCAAACTTATTTAAATTTGTAATAATGAAAATGGAACACCCTGTATATTATTAAACACGGCAGTATATTATGTTATAAGAAGTGAAAGTGATAGTTTATGTCGCGAAACTGAACGTAGTGAGGCAAATACGAGTAATTTATCTGAGCCACAAAAACTCACTTTCCTTCCGAACAACATACACTATTTTATCCGCAAATGTATTAAGATTGACAGTAAAGAGCAACACTATAATTAGCAAGTAAATGAACAAAATAAGGATTATGCTTTGCAAGTCATTAAATCATAACAACGTTTATAAACAAACATCATGTTATCATTTTCGAGAATATTTATTAATTTAACTAGTGCAGTTAGTAGTGCATTGGTAAATATCATGGTAAAAGTAAAAACGCTTAGGCGCAAAAATAGAATTTTTACGTCACTTTTGTGACATTTGCGGATAAATAAATAAATATGTATAGAATTTTACTGTTTTACTGTTTTACTTACCTTGTGTTAATGTATTTCTGTAGTAAAAGAGTATAAAAAAGTGTAAAAAAGTAAAAGAAAGAAAGAATAAGTTATTAATAGTTTTATGTTTAGAAAACCTACAAATTTAAAAAATAAAATTAGGGTTTGGTCCGATCACGTTTTTAATTTTTTAAATAAAATTAAGAATTTTGTTGGCATTTAGAAAAGCTGAAGCGAAACCTGAAAACGCGTTTCAGTCACGCTTATTACTGTTTAAAACGGTTAAATCATCTCGGTGTAAATTAATAATCATCGTTTTAAAAACTGAATCTGGTTACTGTTTTTTTTTTTTCAGTGCAATTCAATTTTTATTGTGGGTCGTTTTTCTGAAAAAAGCTCCATTTATCAGTCTCTGTAACCGCCTTTAAAATTTTACGATCAATAACATCCCGTCGCAATGTAACTTTATGAAATTCAAGATAAAATAAATAAAATCGCATTTTATTAACATACCTTGTAAACTCCGTCACATTGACAAACACCCCGTCCTTGAACCATCTGAAGGACATCGTGGGGGAACCCCTCGCCACGCAGGATAAAATAAACTCGTCGTTTTGCCTGATCGTCCCGACTTGATTGATGGACACGCTCTGAAACTCGTCATTTGGCACATTTTCAGCGATTAAATTTTTTTCAGCACCTGTAAATCGAGCATGGGTTTAAACACAAACTGCTTGTCGGTGACAGTCAAGTTGGCTATGTAACCCCGATCGGCCCATTTGCCCAAAACGGTCCTGATGCGTTTCTCGTCCTTTTTCAGCGCGAACAAATGGAAGGTCACATCGGCGCCCGACCTGAAAAACCTGAAACGGGAAAATTCAGAAACGTTCGCGGCCTGAAACGGCACTTACGCGACGTTCTGCACCGAGATGGCGTCCAATTTCGAGTAGTTCGTCTTGAACGTCCTGAAAACCTGAAAAAATCATCGTTTTTCAGCCGCGCTATTTCGGTTTCTCGGGCCACAAACAAGTTTTTGTCCTGAAAAAAATTTCAGCGAGTGGAAGACGTTAAGTATCCTGAAATTTTAATTAATGAAGCCGGCGTGTCGTGAACCTTTCGAGATTATAAATCAGGGAGGTACTGGGGGGATTAGGACGGGGCTCGGGGCGCCGATCCCATAAATTGCGGCCGATTCCCACACAATTCCGGAGCTGGTGGAAGTGTCCCTAGTTACGAGATGCCCGCGCTAAATTAAAGACCAACATTTACGCAACGGACTGAAAAGATATTTTACAGGGATATCGAAAAATAGACGATAAAATATACTGAAAGACTCGAAAATGACACAAAATTAATTTTTTGTTACAAAAATGCTTGTTTTCTCACTTTAGTTCAAAAAACTAAAAAAATTTAAATTAACCGAAATGTGTTTTTTAGGCGTTTTTCACCGACAAATACAAAATTGGTTAAAAAAGAGATAAAGAGCCTAAAAGTTCATAATTTTTGCTTATTTTAATAGATTTAGAAACTGTTTTATTGGAAAACAAACTAAATTTTGCAAGGTTACATAAAATTAAAGTAAAATTGGCAAAATTAGGGCTAAAAAGTCCCAATTTTGATTACTTCCATAAAAGTCGAACATTTAAAAATTTACTAATTATGAAATATTCTTGACTGAAAATTGCAAAATTAGGTCTGAAATGTGAAAAATTTTACCAAAAAAGGTACAATTAGATCAGTTTCTACAGCGATTTTCAGCGAGAAACTAAGTGATTTTGAAAAATTGGAAAATTGCGAGAAACAATCTGAATTCAAGAGGATTCGCCAAAAGAAGAGGAAAATTGCCAAAGTGTCCTTTTGTGATTTATTTTCAAAAATGATACAATTTTATATTTCTAATTCGAAAAAAATATTTTTTCTCAAATGTAATAATAATTCAAGTTGAAAAAAAAATTTTTTTTGTTACAAAAAATTGTATTGACAAAATATGCTTGTTTTTCCACTTTTAATAGTTCAAAAAACTAAAAGAAATGTTAAATTAACCGAAAATGCGTTTTTCACCGCCAAATACAAAATTGGTTAAAAAAAGACAAATATGGCTAATCAGCTTAAAAGTTCATAATTTTTGTTTATTTCAATAGATTTAGAAACTGTTTTATAGTTTGCAAGGTTACATAAAATTAAAGTAAAATTGGCAAAATTAAGCCTCAAATGTCCCATTTTTGATTATTTTCATAAGAGTCCATTTAAAAATTTACTAAGTATGAAAGATTCTGCCAAAAATTGCAAAATTAGGTCTGAAATGTGATTTTACCAAAGAAGGTATAAAACTGTACATTTAGATCAGTTTTTATTTATTTACAGCGATTTTCAGCGAGAAACTAAGTGATTTTGAAAAATTGGAAAATTGCGAAAAACAATCTGATTTAAAGAGGATTCGTCAAAAGAAGAGGAAAATTGCAAAAGTGTCCTTTTTGGCTTATTTTCATAAACTTAGAGCATTTTTTGTTTTCGTGAAACTAAATAAATTTGAAAGATTTTGCAAAAATTATAAAAATTTGATCTGAAATATGTTGCTTTCGTTAGTTTTGTGATTTTGCTAAATCAGAGTTTCCAATTGCAAAATAGGATCAGAAATGTGTTATTTTTAGCGGTTTTCAGTGCAAAACATGGAATTTCAACGATTTTGTCAAAACAAGACAGAAAATTATAGAATTGCGCCTGAAATGTGTTACTTTCGGTTATTTCAAGACGCTTACAGCATTTTTCAGTAAGAAGCTAGATACTTTTTTAATAAGGCAAAAAATGCAATATGTGTCCTGAAATGCATAATTTTTGGTTGTGTTGATGGATTTAGATAATGTTTTAGTCGGAAAATAATCTAAATTTTAGAGATTTTGACAATATTTTTGTCTATTTTGATAAATTGAAAGCTTATTTTGCCAAAAATTATATAAACATATCAAATAAAACTAAAAAGTGCAAAATTTGGACTGAAATGTGTTGTTTCATTAAATTTAAGAACGTTTTTCTCCAAGGAACTACCAAAATTAAACCTAAAAATTTTAGGCAAATCCTTGTTTATAACGAAAACCTAAAAACATTTTTCACTAAAAATCTTAATAAATAACTTTTTTTTGCCAAAAACGAGACATAAAATTGCAAAATTAGGTACAAAATCTCCCATTTCTGTAATTTTAAAAGTGTAAACTTACAAATTTTGAAAGATTTTGGCAAAACTGAAAAATCATAAAATTTGCACCGAAATGTGTTTTTCACGGGTTAAAAAAAATTAAATACTGCATAATCAGCTTAAAAGGTCATTATTTTTGCTAATTTCAATAGATTTATTGGAAAACAAATTAAATTTGCAAGATTACTTAAAATTTAAGTAGAATTGGCAAAATTAAGGCTAAAATGTCGCATTTATGGCTATTTTTATGAGAGTTACTGTTTTAAAAACTTAAAGCTTACTAAGCATGAAATATTTTGCCACAACTAGACTGAAAATTGCAAAATTAGGTCTGAAATGTGAAAAATTTTACCAAAAATGATATAAAATCGTACAATTAGATCCTTTCTATTTATTTACAGCGTTTTTTAGCGAGAAACTAAGTGATTTTGAAAAATTAAACTTCTTATTGAAAAGATTATTAAATTTAATATAGGTTACAAACATAAATAGTTTTGAGAAAGAAGGACTTGTGTAGCAAGTAATAACATCTACAACATATTTCATAAACTCTGAATTATTTAAAACATCTAAAAATAAGCCGAAAATGTTTATTTTTTGCTCATCTACTGAAAAATGTAGTAAAAATTAAATTTGCCAAAAAGGAGACATAAAATTGCAAAATTGGGTCTGAAATCTCTCATTTCTATAAATTTATGAGCGTTTAACACAAAAAATTTGAGATACTTTGGCAAAATGAGATAAAAAAATGCAAAATTATGTCTGAAAAGTGTTACTTTAAAAAGTTTTTTACAAAGAAACTCATTAAATTTACTAAATTTAAGCGATTTTGTTATAACAAAGCAAAAAATTGCCAAATAAAGCCCAAAATGTCTTTTTTTTGTTAGTAAATTTAAAGTATTTTTATCAAGAAGCTTAATAAATATGAAAGATTGTGCCAAAATTTAGCACAAAATTGTAAAAATGAAGTCTGGAATAGAATTGAAAATGTAAATGAATTATTTTCAGCGGTTTTTCAGGGCGAAACTTACTGATTTTGAAAGATTTTGCCAAAACAGGGCAAAAAATTATAGTATTGAAACTGAAATCATTTTCGATTATTTAGATTGATCTAAAGAATATTTTGGTAAGAAATAATTTAAATTTGAGAAATTCTGACAATACAAGGTAGAAAAGTGTAAACTGATGTCTAAAACGCTATTTTTGCCAATTTCTCAAAATTAAGAGCACAAATATGAAAAATCTTGCCAAAATAAGAACGTTTTTCTCTAAAAAACTCAAAATAAATTTCAGAAATATCACCAAAACTAAACCGAAATTTGTTTTTTTGCTTATTCCGAAAAGTTTAGGATTTCTCACTAAGAAAAATTTAAGTAATTTTAAATAAGTAATTAGTAATTTAATTTTCATGTGTTTTATAAATTTAATAAATGTAAAAAAGTTTGCCAAAAACGAGATTTAAAATCAATTTTTTTAAAAACAAACGAAACTTGCGAGATGGCTATTCTTCACTTAAAATTTGTAAAGTATGAAAGATTCTGCCAAAACGAGACTGAAAATTGCAAGATTAGGTCTGGAATGTGGTATTTTCTATAAATCCAGAAGCGAGAAACTCACAAAATGTGAGAAATTGTGTCAAAAAAGTATGAAACTTTATAAAATTTAATATTTTCCAAAATTTGAAATAATAAATGTTTGATTAAATCTTTGCCATACATGAATGGATTAGAGCAGAGACACTGACCGGGGGCGTGGTGGCGCAGTAAATTTCAGCCTGAAAACTCGGCCAAATCCTGTAAAAATAAATCGTAAACTAGCAAAATTACCTGATTTTCGACGAACGTTTTCAGGGCATTTCCGCTCAGATTCGGCAGATTGGCCAAATGCATGGTAGTGGTGAACCCGACTCGATCTGAAACAAAAACCAATCCGAATTTCAGTTTTTCAGTTATCAGTTATCAGTTAAACACACTGCACTCGTATTTGTATATCTCGATGCATATTTCAAAAGATTACCATCGTCATATTTTATTGTGACAAATCGGGAACAAGCGGAATTTTACAAAAAAACACATTCTAAATCACGCTGAAATTTCAGTTTCTTTGAGATAAATTCAGTTTTGCTGCATTGCTGCAATGTTATCGAATTAACGCAAACGTGATGAAATTCGCTAATTATTTTTCTTGGAGCAACTTTACGAATTATTTTCTTAATTAAACTCGCCATACGAGCAAACATTTTTATTTCAAAGACGTTTGAAACATTGCAAGAGAAATATTGTTGAGGCTTAGGCAAAATCGAACGTTTGAAATATAACTAAAAAGTCCAAAATTTGGACTAAAATGTGTTCTTTCATTAAACTTAAGAAAGGTTTTTTCCAAAAAACTGCCGAAACTAAACCAAAAAATCATTGCTTATTAGAAAACCTAAGACATTTTTCACTAAAAATCTTAATAAATAAGAGACATAAAATTGCAAAATTAGGTCCAAAATTTATTATTTCTATAATTCGGAGAGTATAAACTTACATATTTTGAACGATTTTGACAAAACTGATTAAAAAATTAGAAAATTTGCATCGAAATGTGTTTTTTCACCGACAAACACAAAATTATTTTATTATTAATTAAATAATTAGGTTAAAAGTTCATCTTTTTTGCTTATTTTAATAGATTTATTTGGAAAATAAACTAAATTTGCAAGGCTATTTAAAATTAAAACAGAATTGGCAAAATTAAGGCTAAAATATCCTATTTTTGGCTATCTTTATAAGAGTCGCTGATTTAAAAACTTAAAACTTACTAAGTATGACATATTCTGCCAAAACTACACCGAAAATTGCAAAATTTGGTTTGAAATGTGAAAAATTTTACCAAAAATGGTATAAAATCGTACAATTAGATCACTGTCTATTTATTTACAGCGTTTAAAACATTTTTGAATCAAATTTCTCACTGAAAAAATCATTAAATTTAATATAATAAACATAAATAATTTTGAGAAAAAAAAAGGATTTTTATGTGTGTAGCAAGTAATAATAAGTAGTAATTTACAAACACATTTCATAAACTTTGTATAAAACATCTAAAAATAAACCGAAAATGTTTAATTTTTGCTCAACCACTAAAAAATGTAATAAAAATTAGAGGTTTTACCAAAAACGAGACATAACGAGCAACTTTACGAATTATTTTCTTAATTAAACTCGCCATACGAGCAAACATTTTTATTTCAAAGACGTTTGAAACATTGCAAGAGAAATATTGTTGTGGGGGTTAGGCAAAACCGAATGTTGGGGGTGCGAGTAGGGAGAGAGGCACTTCACTCCCTCCCACATTTTCTATTATCATGGACTAAACTAGCTCTTAAATTTATGTCCCACCGCCGCACTTTACTTCCAAAAGCAATTTTGAAGTTTGTTATGATTAAAATAGTTGCTGGAAGTTTACTCTCTACATGCTTTTTTTTTAAATTTGCATTGAGGGGAATTATTTTGAAATGTGCAAAGAAGCGTTTTGAATTTTTCGGCTGAAATACTTTGAATAGTTGGGTTTTATATTATTGGAAAATTAGAAAAACAAGAAAAAATAAACTGGGATAATAGGAAAAGAAAACGAACGAGAAGAAGAAAAACACAAAAACTATTACATTTTTTTTATGTTTACACGTGTTTTTATATGTGATAAATTTTTTATCTGAAACTATTTTCTGTATATTTTTTTTCTGCAAAAATATAAAGGAAAAAAATCTAAAATGCACAAATAAATTTTTTCTGTAACCTGTAACTGTAAATAAAAATTATTTTCTTCCTTTTTTTTCACTTTTGTGTTCCCAGATAATTATTTTTTTTAATTTGTTTTACTATTCTCTACAAGTCAACATTATAGGTATTGCTGTTACTGTTCTACACATTTTTTGGAGATTTTGGTCCAAAATAAGATCCTGAAATATTATCAAAGACCTAAAATTACTTTAAAACTATTGTTTTAGTTTTTTTTTAATTTTTTCAGTACATTTTTTGACTGTTTTTTCGAGAAATTTGGTCAGAAAAATGCGATATTTTTATCAAAACAAACAGTATTTTGCAAAAATAAGGTAGAAAATTAAGAAATTGTGTTCAAAGTGCTTTATTTTGCTTATTTTAGAGTATTTTTCCATCGAAAAACTAAATAAATTTTTACCATATAATAATTACTTTTGAAACTTTATTTAATTTGTTTTATAGTTATGAAGAAAAAAAAATAAATTTGAAACTCAATTCATTCAAAAGTCTATAATATAAAGTAAAAAATATTAACAAAAACAATCCAAAATGCACAAATAATTTTTTTCTGTAACAAATTATATCGATAAAAATTATTTTCTTCCTTTTTCTTACTGTTTTTGTTCCCAGTTACTTTATTATTTTTTTATGTGTTTTACTATTTTCCACATTATAGGTATTGCTGTTACTGTTCCACCCAATTTTTTTGGAATTTTGGTCCAAATTAAGATCCTGAAATATTGTCAAAGATCCAAAATTGCTTTAAATGTCTTTCCATTCTCTTATTTTATGATTTTTTTTATTTTTTTTAATTAGTATTTTGCCAAAATAAAATAAAAACTAAGAAAATGTGTTCAAAATTAATCAATTTTAGAAAATTTTTATTTGAGAGACTAAATAAATTTGTATTAGATTGTAATTTGTACCGTTATTCATGCTATATTTTATCCAAACAAACCAAAAAAATACAAAATTGGGCCAAAAATGCGATATTTTTATCAGTATTTTGCCAAAATAAAGTAAGAAAGTAGAGAATTTTTATTTGAAAC